GTAGCAGGCACGATCCTTCCTGCAGTCTCCGGAATCCTCGCCAAGGTCCTCCTCCTGCTCCTCCTGCTCCTCCCGCTCGCTCTCCCTGCCCCCCTGCGTCTCGTCGTATTCCTTGTTCTGCTGCAGCTTTCCGCTCCCGCATCTTGCTCTTGATCGTCCACCTTCTCCTTCTCCTTCTCCTTCGTCCTTCTCCTTCTCCTTCTCTTGCTTCTGCTGCTTCTGCTGCTTTCTACCTACATAGTGCCCTCCCTCCTCTCTTCCTTGTATGATTTCTTTTCCTCAGGCTCTCTGGCTGGGGCCGCGTGCAAAGAGACGGAAGGAGCGGAAGCTGCGCAAGATGAGGGAGGAGAACGCAGAGGTTAGCCTCCCTCCTCTTACCTCCCTTCCTCTTTTTCCCTTTCTCTTGCTCCTCCCTCCTGCTCCTCCTCCTCTTTCTCGCCACCGTGCTTCTGTTTCACCAGTCCATTCTCCTTACCCTCGCCCGCTCTCAATTCTCCTTGCTGCTTGCTCTGTCTGTCCTGGCAGCCTTCTCCTCCCTTCGACACGCTTCCTTCTTCCCTTGTGCTCTTGTGCTCTTCTTGCGCCTCGTTATGTTCCAGCTCCTCCTGTTTCTCCTCAAACTGCATTCCAGGGCATCACGAGGGCGAGACAAGAAGCAGCATCAGATGTGGAGCTGATGCGGGTGAGTGATCTTGCGCGAGGGAGGGAGATCATGATCATGATGATAATGATGGAGATGATGATGATGATGACGACGACGAAGTTGATGATTACAATTATGACGATGACGATGACGATGACGATGACGATGATGATGATGATGATGATGATGATGATGATGATGATGATGATGATGATGATGATGATGATGATGATGATGATGATGAGTGGAGGAGGAGGAGGAGGAGAAGGAGAAATAGGAGGAGGAGAGAGACTTCAGCAGCAGTAGGAGCACCACGGAGAAGAGCAGGAGATGTTTGCTGCACGGGGGGGGAAGGAGAAGAGAAATCGCTGATGTTTTTTGCCGTCCTCCCTTTGGAAGAAG